GCAGCAAAAGAGTACAAAGGTCATAACTAGCAGAGATAATTGTTTGCTTTACTTCTTTATTTACTGCTCTATGTTTTTGGAATAATAAGTTTAAGAACTTATTTCGAAATAGCGATAATCTATATACATATATAATGTATAATAATTGAAATGTGACTGTAATTTACAAAATACTAGTCAACTAAAACACAGCCAAGACAAGTTACTTTGTACGGACCAAAGGTCAGTTTTCTGTTATTTGATACGGTAACATGAGTGCACGTGAGCCATATCATTGTAACTTCTGTATTGTTATCCAGGCACGGCTGAAAGGTGATATAATAAGAATAATAAATATACATATAAATGTATAATGTTATGAGATTGAAGTTTATGTTTTTGTTTTATAATTTGTCATCATTCTAGAATGAAAGAGGCATAATTTATGTTTATTTTCTAGTTTTTTTTATGGTGGTTGCATGATAGGTCAAATCTACCGAATCCATATAGAGATTAATTACTGAAAATAACAGATAAAATATAATGCTTTATCTTAAGAAACATTTGATATCTATCCAGACATTATAAAGATTTTTCATGTGAAATTTGAAAGTTTTCTGATGCATAAAAGTATTTTTAATCTTAAAGTGAAAATTAGTTTGCATGATAGATAGGCAAGATGTGAAAAGAAAAAAAAGGCATGAGAGGAACATTGCTTTGCTTTACAAACCTTAAGACTTAATACAAAAACTAAATATTTTGTGTATGAAAGCATTGTAATGTTTACTGATAATCTGCCAAATTTCGTTAACATTTGCTTACTAATTTAAAAGTTATAGCATGAAAACTATTACAAGCACAAAATGGTTATGAGCCCGGGATGAAAGAGTTAATACGATGTAACATGTAAACCCCCCCTGGTAATATGTAGTGTATAAAGAAGTCTGTAATTTGGGGGCTTACACTAAAGCAAGGTTCAGTTGATGCATTATGGAAGCATTCCAAGTAACACCAAACAAAGAGAGTAATGAATAACCACTATGGATTAGTTAATATACGGGATGCTACACAAATATCGCTTCTAAACACTTCAACATCTTGGGGAATGCATGTAGCAAAGAAATGCTATGCACAAAGGAAAATTTGTGGTTTCGCAAGGTACGTCCTCAATTATAATATACTACATCATATGACCTAATGTCATAGTAATTTGTTAATTCATTGAAACTCAAGTTATGTAACATGAAAATGTTTTCATAATTAACCTTTTGTTTTTAAATTTTTCATAAATTCTTTCCACTTATAACACAAAAAACTTGTACAGTCAGCTAATATAAAGTTTTAACTTACATGTGTTGGTGAGGCAGCATCTGGCTGGACACTCTGCAAAAGCAAAGCTTTCAGGACAAATTTTCAAATGAAAAGCACTATTTATTATGTATCAACCAGTCTTATCTTAACAAAAGGGAAAATTTAAACAAAAACTTAAGCTAACGAGAAATAGTTAACTCAGCATATATTTCCTACAAAGAATAAGATTGGTTAACAGAAAATTTGGCAAAAAGTAAGGAATTAAAATACTTGCAGACTATCAGAACCACTTTTTTTTATAAATCCATTCCACATATAACTTTTTTTTTCAGTCAGCTAATACTTACATGTGTTGGTGAGGTAGCATCTGGCAGTTGTCAGCAACTTGGAAATATCTTAAATTTCCCTTCTGAAGTTCCTTTTTTTTTTCATACTTTAATGTATGTCATTTTTTATCTTTACTGTGTTCTTTCCTTAACCAGGTTTATAGTATTTAATTTATTTGTCATTAATGAATTGTTTAGAGATTACTAAACATGTATAAGCCTGGCATGGTCTGATTGGGAGGGTGCTTGACTTGCAACCTGGGGGTTGTGGAGTCGAAACATGTCACTGTACACACTTGCCCTTTCAGCTGTGGGGGTCTCATAATGTGACATTGAATCCCACTGTTTGTTGGTAAAGAATAACTCAAGAGTTGGTTTCAGGGGTATTGACTAGCTGCCTTCCATCTAGTCTTATCACTTCAATATTAGGGATGGCTAGCACAGATAGCCCTTGAGTAGCTTTGCATGTAATTCAGTAAACAAACCAATAAAACATGTAAAACATTTTAAGTGTTGTTCCTTTAAGGTTTTATTATTAATAGTTGATCCACTGCTTAGTTTTAATACAAATTCTGTCTTGGTACTTTTTGCTCAGGACTGACACTTTATCATATTTGTGTCTGCCTTCATGAAGTAGGATGTTCTTGTAGCTTGTATTCTTATAGTAATGATGAGAGTTTTGAGATTGGATATTGTGGATTCTTTGTAGACGTTCACATCTTATCAGATTCGTGTTCTGGTAGCTTGTCTGTCTTATAATGAGGGTTTAGTGGATCATTACAGTGGCTTCACATCTAATCAGATTCATCTTCTGTTAGCTTGTCTGTCTTATAATGTTGATGAGGGTTTCGAATTTAATTTGGTGTGAAGCATGGATCTTGGTGGAGCTTCACATTTAATCAGATTCATGTTCTCATAGCATATCTGTCTTATAATGAGGATTGTGAGAGTTTGATGGATCTTTATTAGAACTTCAATTCTAATCAGATTAATGATACCCAACCAACTTTTAGCTCTTCTCATGGCTGTAGTGGAAGGATACTCAGTTAACCAGAATGCTCTGAACTGATGAAGACTACCTATAACAAGTGCGCCAATGTCAATCCCAAACCAATTCTACAAAATCAGACATTACATTGAAAGTAACCAAGACATTTAAAGATTTTCTATTATGACAGTTCTTCTTGACAAAACTTTTCTTTAGAGAGAGCAGGAAGAAGTAAGCAACAAGGCTAATAGTTATGTGGTGTAAATAGAAGGGATGCACGGGTACCCGGCCAGATATTCGGCCCTGGCCAGGTATTGGGCTACCTAGTAATACTTAGCTCCGGCTGGGTGTCGAGATTAGGCATATAAGCCCTAATCTTTGTGGCAACTAATGCGGTAATGAAAGTTACAATCAATAATTGGTTTATTTATAAAAAAAATTTGTTCTGAGCAACAAGAACTGACTGCTTGCTGAAAGTCAGGGATTCAAAAAACAATAGGAATTAATAACAGGCATGGCTTGACAAATGGATTTCTGGGGAAGGTGGGGGT